ATGGACTCAATAGGTTATACTTAGGAATATATGTGTATATACAAATACATATCTACATGCAATATCAATTCATTTAAAAAGAGGCCAGGATATTGGTGGCGCACGCCTTTAATCCCAGCACTTGGGAGGCAGAGGCAGGCGGATCTCTGTGAGTTCGAGGCCAGCCTGGTCTACAGAGCAAGATCCAGGACAGGCACCAAAAGTATACAGAGAAACCCTGTCTCAAAACAAAACAAAAAGAGGCCAGGGATTTTAAAGAGAGCAGATAGGGGTATATGGGAGGGTTTGGAGGGAGAAAAGAGAAGGAAGAAATGTTGTAACTAAATTATAATCTCAAAAATAAACAAAGAACAGTTGTTGGTAGTAGATTATCATGATATCTACCTCACAGTGTGTTCTATACAACTCCACATGACCTAGAGGTCCAAGTCAAGTGTGTGGAGTAAATGAAGACCAAGCTTTCCATTCCCTTGAGCTATTTTTAAATGGACATGATCTTAAAGAAAATTAATTTTCAGCTTAAATGATCACAGTAAATTAAGCAATTTATTCTTGATAAAAAAGGCTAAACTTCCAAACTTAAAGAAAAACCCTAGCATTTTATTTTAAGCAACAAACCTATTATTCCATGCTTCTATTAGCTGAGAACAAAAACCTTTACCTCCAAAATTTTAAAGAAAGTGCTCATTTTCCCATTATTTTATCTAAAATTCTTTTAAAAGTAAATCATGCAAGGATGTAATGGTTAGTAAAAATTTAACAGATGCCCCATAAAAACATCAATTTGTTTATAAAGGTTTATGGTATAAATTTTGATCCCGAAATCAACTGCAGCTATGTGCGAACATTTGAGAAATGCTGAGGACATTAAATAAGAGGTAGAGAGAGAGGGACAGAAACACTATTGAAGAAGGATTTTTGAAGTCAGGGGAGGTGGCGGCACATGCCTTTGTGAGTTCAAGGCCAGCCTGGTCTACAAAAAAAGAGTTCCAGGGCTGTTACACAGAGAAACCCTGTCTTGGGCATGTTTTTTTGTTTTGTTTTGTTATTCAAAACTAAAAGAAAGGAAAATGAAAAGGTATATACAAATAATTCTAACTTCCAGTTTTTAAAAACTGTCAACTGCAGATGGTCAGAGAATGATGTTGCCAATTGCTGTGACATGCTCTCTGACACCAACAGTAGGAGTCCATTAGGCAGACTGCTAAGGAATACATAAAAGTGAGCAAAAGCTGAAAGCTGGGGGGAGGGGCAGAACCAGTTTTTCAAAAGTGCAAGTGGGAGGTCTTGTGTAGAAAATTGTTATCAAAGGTAAATATTTGGAGGTGGTCAGTCTAGTCGGGGCTGTTCCCTTTTGCCCAGCTCATCTATCTCTGCCTTCTCTTCTGTCATAAACTGCCTTGGATGTGGACATTAAGAGGTAGCTCTTTTTTGGGGGGGGGGGAGGGGGGTGTTTCGAGACAGGGTTTCTCTGTGTAGTTTTAGTGCCTGTCCTGGATCTTGCTCTGTAGACCAGGCTGGCCTCGAACTCACAGAGATCCACCTGCCTCTGCCTCTCGAGTGCTGGGATTAAAGGTGTGTGCCACCACTGCCCGGCTAGAGGAAGTTTTGCTGAGAGCCTGGAGGCAAGTGCCTCCAAGATAGTCTGCAAAGATGAAGTCACATACTACTTTGCTTCTGAAAGCAAGTAAAACTATAAATAGCTTGGGCACTTTAACGGGTGAGTCTTGTTCTGGACCTGTCCTGGTTTTACTTCAAAATTAATATTGAATAAAATAGTATCAGTAGAGTAGTGCTTAATGAACCTGGAAAAATTCTAAAAATCCAATGTTCTGTAACAACAAATCGTATTCGTATTAGGTGAGACTCATTGGCATATGCACACACACATATATGAAAATATTTAAAAAAATAAAAATTATTAGCTTTTTGCCAGTTGTGTATCTATTGTTCCCCCAGATTTTTCTGAATGCATGTTTCAATTAGCATCTCATGAAGTTCTTGTCATCACTTGCTTAGAGTGTGTCTTGGTTTTGAACCAGGTTCTCCCTTGTGACTTTGGGGAAATGGATGAATCAATTTTGTATGTTACTTAAAATAATAGTTTTCCTTCCAGTAGACATATTTAACTCTCCTACCCTGTTACCACACTTGAAGTCAGGCATAATAATGAAAATGCTTCCTGGGCTTGCAGTGAGGATTTGATGAGATGGTAAACAGAGTATTTGATCCTTGGAAGATTCCTTAGGCACCAGAGATCCTCTTTAAGTTTCTCTCTTACTCTAAATATTTTTCATGCTACCATTTCCTTCCCTGCTCTTTATTCTCCATGAAAACATGAGGCTTTGAGCAGAGAGTTAAATATCCACAATACGTAGGGGCAGGAGATTTATATACACAACTTTCTAGCTCCAAAGTCTGTGTTTCTTTCAACACTCACTGCTTCTGGAGCTGCCTTTAAATTTTTGTTTGCACTTTGATATTTCAAAGGGAAGAGAAAACAAATGTAGGTATACCTGACATTTGGTGCTGGCCAGCTTATCTTCACATATTAACAATTAACTTTCTCTGGCAACAGGCAGACATCCCAGTCTGGAGACTTCCCCATTTTTTTCACTGCTGCAAAAAGCTGATAATGGACTTGAACTGCCCTGGCCTACAATGCCCGCCCACATGCGCACGCACAGCACACACACACACACACACACACACACACACACACACACACACACACCAAAACTGATAATTTTTTTAACTGTAAAGTTGTATAAAATTTAAATTGAAGTCCTTTGCCCCCATGACTTCCTGTGAAAACTGAGGTTGGTCTGGCATTTATCACCCCGACAACGAAATAAGGAAAATGCTGTTTCACTGTCCCATCAACTCTGAGGAGCATCATAATGCTATCTGAAAAAGCATCCCTAAGGGACTTAGGGCAGCAGCCTTGATCAGATCTGCTGTCCACAAGTGCAGAGAGGGTCACTGAAACGCTGGACACTGCTCAGCAGAGCTTAGTACTCTTCGGGGAAGTACTGATGAAGGGCATTGCTTATGTGACGATCTATTAAAATACTGCCCATGGTTAGCATACATGATTTTTAAATAAAGGCCTCTAAGGTGAGTGCATTTCCATTAGCTGTTTTTTTTTATGTTGTTAATGTTTCACTTGTCCATAGTCAAGTGAAAGTTCCACCTTTAGGAGTTTTTAGGCTTCAAAACATTTGAATTAAGTATTTTGATAAGCTAGCCAAATTGGTTGAAAGATACAATAAGTACTTTCACGGATACTTTGAATATTTATGAACTTCTTGTTCGGATATCTTGATCCTATCTTGGAACTGAAATAGAAGAAATCTTCACCAGTAGCTACTTGCCAAAACTAAATAGTTGTAGAGATGATTACCTCCCCCACCCCCACTGGAAATATCAGAGAGAAAATACTTACAGTCAGCTAAATTTCTTTTTAATGATTTGGCCACTCATTGGTGGATTAAAGAGCAACACACATTTGTCCGATTTAGTTAACACATCTGCTTTTTTATTTTTTAGAATATAGTCTACATCTGGATTAAAAAAAGTTTTAAATAAACAAGACATATAACAACAGTGGAGCCCTTCATCATTCTACGTACAACACGGATAGAATGTCAGTTGGTTCCACTTTAGATAAATCCACTTTCTCATAATAATGTTATTATTTTCGCTGGCCGAGTGGCAAGCTTCATCCAAGCTGGCGCACAGCCAGTTTACACACACGGGGTGGGGGAGGGGTGGCGTGAAAGGGATGGGGTGCCACAGGACTACTGTACAGTGTAACAGAAAATCATTAATAAAGTAGTACCGGTTACCGACAGTGCTGTTTGTGCGCTTATCACAATGGAATCGACGAAGTTTCAGAGCAAAGAGATTGGAAATACTTAAGACAGGGTCACTGTTACAAAAAGAAAATAGTGCAAACAGGAAAACTGACGCAATCCTAGCAACGCCAGGGCCTCCTCTTGCAGCTCAAAGCAGGGCGGGCAGGAGGCTGCGCCACGCCTCGCCCCTGCACCCGCACCCAGTCAGAAGCTGCCCTCCCAAGTGTGGCAACCCAGCGCTGTGCCCTGGCATGGCCCTTTCTCAGACCCTTCTCTTCCGGAAAGAACAGAAAAGAAACCCCAAGAAAGGCACAGGCTGAATGAAGGACGTCGGCCCAGTCCCATCCCACCAACACAGAGCAGGCCCCCTCCGGGGGTCCTTGAACCCCCCTCTCTGGCGACTACTTTCGTCTGCTCTTGCGATGAGGCCCTCTTTTCCACACAACCCCCTCACCCACGTACACAGCCCAACTTTACAGTGTGCCCTTCGCCCCACAACCAGGAAGAAAATAGCTTGGAGGAAAGAGAGGGGTGGGAGAGCCGGCCGGAGAGGGTACTGGGCAGCGGGGAAGAGGCCCGCCTCAGTGGCCCCAATTACTGAAGCCGATCTCCTGCTTGTATCTGTTGGTGAGGATGTTGGCTTTGCGGGTGAGTTTGGAGAGCACGGTGTGCAGCCCGCGCAGGTGGTAGTGGAACTGCTGCTCCAGATCTTCCTCGCCAGCATCTGTGCTCTCCAAGTGGCTCAGGCCTACTAGGATGTCCTTGGACTTCCAGGTGCTCTCCTCGCTCCCGGCCGGCGGAGACGATGGCTGGTGCAGGACTCCCCACTCGATGTCGTTGCGGATGGACTTGAGCAGCACGTAGTGGCTATACATGTCCCGGGAGGGCGCGAAAAAGCTTCCGTTGGCGCTGCCGGGGCTGGGGGCCGGGGTCGTGCGCTCCTCCAGGCAGCTGCCACTGCCTCCTACCTCCACGCCGACCTCGACCTCGTTGTCTAGCTCTGGCTCGGAGAGGGGCACATCGCGCAGCAGACTGGGCACCATCACGGTCTGGTCCATGTTGTTCACCGCGCCAATGAAGCGATTCATGGCGTTAAAGAGCGAGTGCTTCTGGTTGTAAGTGTCGCAGATTTGCATCATGGTGGCCGAGAGGGTGCGGAAACACTGGGACGCTGGTAAACCGAGATAGACCGCTGGCGATGCTGCCTTCAAGCGCTCTCAGGGGCCGGTGCCGGAGCCTGCTTGTAGCCGGTGAGGCGGGATTCCCAGATCCTTCTCCGCCCTCTGTAACTCTGGTTTCTGTCGCAGCCCAGCCCTTCGTGATGCGCGGCTGCTCCTAGCTTTGGCTCGCGATGACAGTGGGAGGTTGGGTCTAGCCTTGACCTGCTTGGGAGAAAGAGACGGAAAAAAAAACCACATTACCCACCCGGTTATGGTGCCGCGGCGCCCCTTGTCCGCGCGATGCTCTCCCCCTGGCTACTGCTGGCTGGAGACCGCGCCAGGGTGGCTCCCTGAGACCAGGCAGTATCACCTCCGCCGATGCTAGCAGAGGACCTTTGATAAAAATGGGGAAAGGATCCCCCCCAGCCCGGACTCTCCCGTTTCTCCCTTCTAAAACCTGAACGAAAGCAACCATGTTAGCCAGGGCAGCCACAGGGCGGGAACACCCACCTCTTGCGCTGCGAGATCTCCCGGTTCTCAGTGTTTGTGTTGCGGACGGTGGCTGCCCAAGGGCGCTGCTGCGGTCACTGATCGGAGTGTGAGTGCGGATGGCGGTGGCTGCTTCGGCCCCCTGCCCATCCCAGGTGCTCAATTTATAGTCCAGTAAAGGTGTCCCAGGCACCCAGGACCACCCCCGAAGTCTCCTCCTCCTACCTCCTTCAGCAGCACAGATAAAAGGTCCCAGCCCTGACCGCGAGTAACACTCGCCCAACCCTTTCTACCGCGGGGGCGGAGCACGCAGGCCGGCTCCGCCTCTCGCCTGATACCCGGGCTAAGGCTGGGCGACCCAGCAGGGAAAGGGAGGGTAGGGCTGAGAGGATGGAGAGGCCGCGCCCCAGCACCAAGCCCTGAGCAAGCTGGTTGGGGGAGGGAAGGCGAGGCACTGAGCCCAAGGAGCCGCCGTCCAAACCAGAGGGCGGACTGGAGCGCGGGCTGGGCGGGCTTGGCGCGCACTCGCCGGGTGGGATGACCGGAATGCATGTGTGTCCGGGTTGCAAAAGATCCCCTCAATGCTGAATCTAGAGTGGCTGCAGCCGGGAAACTTAGCTTCAGTTTATTATTAGACGTGGGGTAAGAGGGACTCACAGCTGCCCTGACTCCATATCGGGAGTCTTATGTAAGAAGAGTAGCAGGACATGCCGGATGCACGTGGACACATGGTGCTCCCACCATGGCCCTGGCTGTGGTCAGCTGCTGGGGAATGGGAATACTGAGGCATTGCTTCCCTCCTGGCAGGGTCTTTCCTATTACTCATGCCAGGTATGAAGCGCACCCTTGTCATCTGATCTATAGATTCCCTCCCCTCGCACCAGGGGGATCAGAGCATAGCAATAGAGCGCGAACTGGGGCCTTGTGGCCTTTTGGCTATCAAAAAAACAAAAACAAAAAACACCCCACCCCCCCCAAAAAAAAACGTAGGAAAGGTACCAGAGGTTAGGCCAGGTGTTCGGTGTATCTCATCATTTAACAGAAAAAATGGGAGTGTATCCAATAACTTTGTGGAGTGTGTGTCAAGTGCTCCTTTCAAAAGATAGTTCTTAAGCAAGGGTTACTTAACAAGGCCTTAGCTGTGTACCACAGCCCTGGATGGAACTTTCAAAAGTTTTTACAACTTCACATTAGGGTTTCCAGCCTCAGCCCTTACTCGTTGGCCTATTTCACTTCCTTTGCCACATCCCTCATCCTCCAGTCTACTCTGACATTCCTACAGATAATTATGACTCAAGCTTCTAATTTTAAGTTCCTTTCCTCTAAAATCATTGGGGGAGGTTTTAGTACGGCATTCCCCTGCGAGACAAAAAGCGCCCCCAGACAAGGAGAAACACATATGCCTTTCTCGCTTTCTTGAAGGACCTGCATTGTCTACTGAAAACCACGTTTCTTCCTAACTTTGAAGGGACAGCTAACTTTGCCACAAGGACTGAGAAAAGTCACTGGTGACCATAGAAGCCAGTCTGGGGAACTTTACTCCAGCTTACTAGTTCTAGATTATAACCCATGCTTTCTTTGGTTTGTTTTTTTTTGAGACCAGGTTCTCTCCAGCTAGACTGATTTGGAACTACAGCTCTGGCTGAGCTTCCCATCCTTCTGCTTCTGTGTTTCATGTTTAGAAGTGAAATAATGTTATCTGCCCTAAGGAGATCAGTGGAAAAAAGCATGTATATAGGGGGGAAAGGTGCATTATGTAAATCATCTCACCTTCTCTTTTTGTACACAGACTTGTAAACTTTTCCAGCCTCTCCATTTGTCAACAAAGTCGAGTGTCTCCCATGTGAGAAATTTTTCCAGTGTTTCTTTAGCAATAGAAAGGAACTTCTTGGGTCATGGCAAAGATCATTGTTAGGGTTCACTGAGCTAATGCAGGTAAAACTCTCATTGTGTACATTATAAAGTACAGAGATTAATTGTACTTAGTATAGTATAGGACTTCATTATAATCTAGAGGCATTGTATGTGAAGAGTCTGAACCCTTAAATATAGGGAAATGGGCTAAGATGAACCAGAGACCACCCCCCACCCCCATCCCCCACCCAATCACCACCATTTCTTCGGCACAGGAGAGTATAAAACAGTCCAGGCTTGTTTTAAACCTTATGCCAGATGAGATCCAAAAAGGAAGGCTCTGGAAAAAACAGATTACCTAGTTTCCAGTAGTTGATTTTTCTCATAACTTAAAATGTAGTTTGACCCCATCCCAGACTCTGGATATTTCAAGAATGCACCCTAATGAAAACCTGGAATTGCTTTGAGTTATTAAATGCTAGAATCCTGCCTGCTTTTCTCTGCTTAGTCCTAACAATGTGATTAACAGCTCACCGAAAACGGAAATCCAAGCTATCTAGCAAAGGGATCCCACTCTGAAAGTAAGCCCAGCCTGGGAGAAAACCCCTAGCCCCTTCTCTTTGGCCTCCATCCTTCCTCAGAATCAATTTCCTTCCTTCTTTCTGGATCCTCCAGTGCCTTGACTCTCTGTGGCGGTTCTACACATTTCTTAAACTATCAGATGATGGCTCATGCACCTGCTGGCAAAACTTCCCAAACCGGGCCTCCCAGCTCCCCCCTGCCCACACAATAACTCACACCCACCGGGTAACTCCAGAACGAAAAGGTCTTCAGGCCAGAGCTCCGGGCCCTTGGAATCACCCCACCACCACCCCTCCTGCCCCAGCCAATCAGAAAGCTTCCGAGAGAGTTATGCAAATGAACATGTGGCCCTAACCAGTCAGAAGCCACAGACCCTTCCCCCCAAGTGTCCTCTTTCACCCCAGCCCTGAAGAGCTAATGGCAAGCGTCCCTGGCAACCGGCCTGCAGCCAGTTTTCCCCTAACGCAAGGCTGTAAAAAAATAAAAACGATTCCCGGGGGTCACGTGGGTACTAAACGGGTTGAGCCAGGCCCAGTAAAAAGTAGGCAGCTTCTCTGGTTGCTCCAGGCACCTTCCCTATCTCGATCTGGAACCGACTGAAAGTTCCCAGCAACCTGTCCAAGACTCATTTTGCCTAATGAGAACCTTAGTAATCATCAGTTGAGTAAATGGCTTTTGAGTATCGGCTTAAGGCAAGGTGCCTTGGTCTCTCCTTTTCTACCCAGTGTGCTAGATCCCTGTTTAGAAGCCTGGTTTGACATTCTGCTCTAACTCAGGAGCTCTTAAATACTGGATCTTAAAAGTCCTTCTTTAATCAGTAACCAGGAAGTGATGAGCTTAGCTGTCTCATCATCCCCCTGCAACCCTCCCCCAAACAATTCACAAACTACCTGTCCTGTTGTGTCTCTTTGATGGTTTAGGAAAACGTGGCATTTTAAAGGTGACCAGAAACTGCTAAGCAAAGTATCGAGCAAGAGTAAACTGGAGAAAGAAGGAACACTAGAGAGAGGAAAGGTCTGGCTTGGGGCTGGACAAAAAGTGATAGTTTAAGGCTAGAAACCGGCCAATGGAGAACCTTGATCGCACTGATCTAGAACTTAGAAGCAATAACTTCATGAAAACTGTCCTGGAAATCTGTGCACTATCCCTTTAAAGGCCACGTAGTCCAACCTTCCTTTTGTACTGAAATTGCTCACAACATCTCCACCAAGTGGTCACCCTAGCCTACGTTCTTGTACTTTCCATCCTCTAGTATCAGGCCTACGTTTTGGAACTCTTCAGAAAGCCATGAAGCACATGGTCGGTGTTTGAATATAGCTATGTTCTTTCTCCCTTGAATTCACTATATCTCAAGTCAGTTACCTTTGTTTCTTGTAGCAATCCATGCTTTTGGTTGAGTGGCTCACATATTCTGGTCACTGTCTTTGGAAGTTGTTTGGGCTTGTCTACAAGTGTCACACTTGGATCTCATTTCAAGTACCACCTTTCCTGGGACAAAAAGGAGCGGCAAAACCACCTATTTTATTGTGAATGATAACTTTTCTAGACCAAATTCCCCAAGTGCCAGACCCAATGCACATTTACTACCCAATAAATATATACTTCTTACAATGCTGTCTAGCATTTAATGAACTTGTTTTAATGGTTGCACTCACATGTTGTTATATGCACATAAAATTTGTGTATCCCATTCTTGAGCAGTGGAGATCTTGGTGGACCAAAATACAGAACTTTCTATTGCTTTCACCTAAGTAGATTTTAGATCATTACTCCAGCCTGTTTCGGTAGTTTGGATTCTGATTTTGTGCTCTAATACGCTTGGATATTAGCCACACATTTGATACCTGTTCAGTGTATTCATCCAAGCTACTGATAACGGGTACCAGGGAGTACCACACAAAGGGCAAAGCACTATTGCATACCTGGAGAGCTCCTTCAGTGTGATATTAGCTCATTAATTGGAACTTTTGGCATGTTTTTTCAGGCAACTATGAATCATATTAATTCTACCACCATCCAGAAGACAGAATAGTATGAGACAGCTTGCTAAGGGCTTTACTGCGCTCTCAAGTTAATGGTCAGCTTCCTTCCTATAGAGTTAAGGAGAATATCTCCGTAGTGTTACAGATAAACCACTGTCACATGACATATAAACTAGAAATAGGAGCTGGAGAGAAGGCTCAGGGATTAAGAACATTTGCTACTCTTCCAGAGGACCCAAGTTCTGATCCCAGCACCCATATCAGGTGACTCACAACTATCTGTGACTCCAGCTCAAGAGGATCCAATGGCACTCTTCTGGCCTCTGAGGAACACACACACACACATACACACACACACACAAATAAATAAATAAATAAATAAACAAACAAACAAACAAACAAACCAAAAATAGTGTCATGATTGAAATCCTGAGTTCAGGGAAAGCTGACAATTCTACATAGTAATTTTTGTTTTAGTCTCAGCAATTTTACTTATTTGAGAATTCTACATAGAAAATGATGCATTCAATTTGAGCATAACAGGTAAAAAAAAAAAGGGCAAAGCTCATTATAAGTTTTTTTTTTTTACCATACAGGAAGTTTTATGCACATACATATATGTATGTAGCAACAATTAATGAGAAAAGAGCACACGAATTTAAAAGAGAACAAAGATATGGGAGGGCTTGGAGAGATGAAGGGAAGAAGGAAACGATGAAATTATAATACATCTCAAAAAATAGAAGAAATAAAAATTTTAAAACAATAAAATTAACTATTATTGAGTTTCTTCAAATGCCAAGATCTACTTAAAAGGAGCAACGAGAATGTCCCTCTTTCGTTCTAATGGGTGTCATTTTGGTTAACATAAATTCTGTAATCAAATTCAAAGTTTAAAAATCCATAAAATAGGAAGCAAAGATATAATTATCCATGGCATATGTTCAAACTCTAACATATATTTATTTGCGTTTTGTTGACACTAGTGTCATAAATATATTACCCAATGAACACAATCAAATGTTCCATCAGTAAATATCTTATGAATAATTTATTTTTCTGACTCAAATAATGAAAGAAACTAAACTTAGATGCTGTAGTCTATAGAATTCACCTACATTTTATCAGACTGTCCAGATAGTATGTGTGGGCTAATCTCATAATCATGAGTAAGAGAAGTGTGACTCAAAAGAACTAAGAAATATAGGAGATTTTGATGAGAAAAGGAAAATAATAAATCCTTAGGAAGATTTATAAAATGAAATTGAAAAAGAAGCACACTTTGAATCAAATTACTAGAAAGCTAATTAGCTAAATAGAAACAACAGAGAAGCAAACAGGTATGCCAGACCATTGGTTATGATGGAGTGAAGGGCAGAGACAAGTATAAAAGCACAGGCGTTCATGGGAATGCATGAGTGAACAAAAGAGTTAAAGAAAATAGTAGATGCTGGATATGGAAGACAATGAGAGCATAATTTAAGGATAATGGACGTCCCTGGAGAAGAGCCTCAGCAAGTGAAGGAGAAAATACAAATGAGGGGCCAAAGAAATGGTTCAGCAGTTAAGAGCATGTACCATTCTTGCAGAGTCCCAGCACCCCCACTGAGGGACTCACAACTGCCTTTAACTCTAGCTTCATGGGATATATTGTCCTTTTCTGTACTCTGAAGGTACCTATATTCACAATCGCAGATATACACACAGAGATAGACACAAATAAGCAAAACTAAATAAATATTAAAAGAAAAATGTAGCTGGGCGGTGGTGGCGCACGCCTTTAATCCCAGCACTTGGGAGGCAGAGGCAGGCGGATCTTTGTGAGTTCGAGGCCAGCCTGGTCTAGAGCGCGAGATCCAGGAAAGGTGCAAAGCTGCACAGAGAAACCCTGTCTCGGAAAAAAAAAAAAATACTAAAAGAAAAATGTGAAAGAAACTGAAAATTTTTCTTGAAAAATTTTGCTCACCTGCATGCTGAATATTAGATAAAATTATTCAGAACAGTTGAAAAAACAAGTTCATTGTCTTTTTCAACTTCAAGAGAAAAGAAGAATACTTTTTAAATATTCAGGCAGGAGAAGAAGTCAACAAAAAAGGTGGGAGAGTGAGGAGAGTCATTCAGTGGATAAGACACAATAGAGTTGTAAGAAAGAATATATGATTCAAGACTATCATGCCACTTAAGTACAAATTGATAGACATTCTCAAACATGAACTCAGAACTCTTCTTGAAAACCTTCATAATAAAATTCTGCTAGCACAACAGCACCAACAGCTGCATCAAAATCGGAAGCTCTGATGAGAGGATCAGGATAGATTTAAACCACTTACTATAGGAATAAGATTAACCCATGCGGGCACTATGGTTGCAGATCAAAAAGTAAATATTTTAAACCCTAAGAAAACCAAGTAATGCAAGCGACAGAATTGGAAGATGGAGGGATAGTGCCAGAGCTAATCAACATTTACAATAGTCAGTGATGTCTAAAACCAGTTGAGTCAGTTTGAAAAGCAAGATATAAAGATCTCAATGTTTTTAAGATATTTTTTCTCAGCTTAGAGGGACCTTTAAGGACTGATGTTTTCTATAGTGAACAATCTCTTTTCTTGAGTTCATGATTTCTT